TTGAGCTTCAGTACATGTGCTGCCAAAGCAAGCACTAGTTCTTGGGTTTTTACGTGTAAGCAGCGAGCCTACAAGTTTTTGTAGAATGTATCTCTTTGAATATGCCTCTGTTAATATGGAAAATAACGGATTTAAAGGGCATTACTCATTCTTTAAACCATTTCAGGGACTGTAAGATTTAAGTTTACTTACTGATTTTTAAAAACTCAAAAATGGTACTAATATACAAACCCAAGTATAGGCCTCTAACTTGGACCAGTTGTCTCAAGTTTTAAAAAGATAAATTGACATGTTAGTATGTTTTGGAAAAATACACCCAACAGAGTATGAGGCTATAGGAGCTTTTAGTTACTAAACATCAAAGAATAAAGATTTCAAAATTGTGCTGTTGTTTACATGGCATGAAATGTCTGTTAGAATATCTATTAGATTTAGAAATTAGTTTTGTACTTTGGAAAATTTATGCAAAATATAGACAGCAGTACCTGATTATTGCCATTGGTAAGTGAATGAGGAAATGTAAGTTTTTAACAAGTTTTTTCCTCAGAATATTTATATTCTGATTGTTCATTTTTTCAGACAGTCTGTCAAGAGATAACATTCTGTTGCTCCTTCTTTGTGTGTGTTTTTGAGACTTTTATTGGTACATGTTTGTAGTACATAATGATTACATTCATCTTGGGGAGTTTGTACATGTACATAACATACCTTTTAAAAATTTAGTAATAGTTGTCATACATAATGGTCACATTCTTCATAGGAAATTGACAGGAACTTGGTACAGGTACATAATGCCCTATCCCTTGCTCTCTGCATTTTTCATGTTCTAGGTATAGAAGCCTAAATTTTCTTTTTTAAAAAATATATTACTATACATAGTTTTGTTTCATTTTAAGTTATTTCATGGCATTTTATTTTAAATATTTCTCCCACTTAAAAATATTTTTTTTGGCGGAACTGGGGATTGAACTCAGGCTCTTGCGCTTGCCAGGGAAGTGCTTATTCCACTAAGCCATCTCCCTGCCCCCCCCATTACATATTTAACAAGTGTATCATTCATTTTAGTTTTCCGCACAAATATTCCTTTGTGGTTGCTTTAACATTTAGAAGCGGGGCCAGTGAGATAGCTCAGTGGTCTAAAGCACCCACTCAGGCAAGCTTAGGTAAGCGCAGGGACCTTGGTTTGATCCCCCGCACCACATGCCAGAGTCTGGGTATACTGGCACAAACCTGTAATCCCAGCGCCGGGGAGGCCAAAAGCAGGAGGATCACCACGAGTCTGAGTCATGTAGTGAGACCTTACAACAACCAAATACATTAAAAAAA